TCTCCCCGGAGCCGCGCGCTCGCTCACCTGCCGACCTCCAGGCTGCGCGCACTCCCGGCTCCTGCTGCTTTTAGGGCTTGGGAAGCTCATTAAGGCCCACAGGCACGCGGAGCCCATGCAGAAGGCTGGTGGCCCACATTCCGGCGGGACCAAGAAGGAAAATAACTACTGTCCAAAATAGAATCAAAGTGCTGGGGATGTTTACCTGAGGATGGTGGCACCATCACGACTTCCTGTCAGACAGGTTTTCCGTGTGGATGAAATAGGAGCCTGAACGCCATCCTCAAATTAGGTCATGGATCCAAAACCCAAATATACATCATGGGAATATTGGATTTTACACTCAATTGAAAGAAAAGAATCAGTCCAATGTTGGACAGTCAAAGAAAGCAAAGATTCTGTTTTCGACATAAAAGTGAAACTAGGAAACAAAATAGCCCAGAAATGTTTCCTGGTGACTTTGAAAATGGGCGAGAGTTGTTAATGACAAGATTGTCTAAGCCACTCAGTGATGTAATAATGGCTCTTTCTGAGTCTCTATATTTGTATTTCCTGGGGACACTGAAACCTATCAAAGTGGAAGGTCAGGTGGTAGGTCTAAGCTTCTAAACAATTATTAAGACAATACAGATCGTTTGGGGTTCTTTGTGCTGAAATAAAGTTAAGATTCATGCTACCATGGTATAAAATTAAAATTTTGTTTCTGACAGTTCTTTTCCTACGTTTACATGGGCTTCATTTCATTACCTCATAAAAGAATGAAACTTAATTTCAAGAACAAATACCTCCTAAGGGTGTCAAGTCGTCTTTCTTTCATAAGCCCAAATTTAACTTTAAAACTTGACAGTATGTTATCTGTAATGTTGGAGGAGGTTTTTTGGTTTGGGTTTTGTATTTTTTAGCCAAAAGATAGCTATTTAGGAAACATTATTATTGTTTTGTTTTGTTTTGGCCTTGCCTGGCAATAAATATTTTAATTTTTGTTTCATTTTTATGATGACAAGTAATTTTCAAGTTTATTTCCTTTTTTGTTGTTTGTTTGCTTAAATACAAAGCTAAACCACAAACAGGTACAGCCAAGACATTTTATCTCACATTTAAAGACTCCTGTCGGATCCTCCTCCAATTTGCTGACCACTGACCAGGCTAGTGGGCTTGGGGGGAAAGACTTTCTTAGGTAGCACCGTCATGAGGCCCAGGATGGGGTAAGGATGAGGACAGGTTCTCACACCTGTCTCCATTCACATTTACCTGGGACCAGGGTGGACAGGAGCCCCAGCCCCATGGACAGAAGGTGGATGGTGAGTGAGAATCAGACCCCTGGGGAGGGAAGAGGAAGCCAGCTACTCTTCCTGGTATCACATTCAAGCTGAGAACTGAACCTTGTCCTTGCTCCCTGGCTAAGGGCCCTGCCTGCTCCATGTGCACCAGATGCCTTTCTTTGAGGCTGATGGAGACGGCTGGGTGGGATCCTGAGTTCTACCCTCACAATTCAGGTTATGGCTGCGCTTCATAGGAAGGACACCAGGTGGTCTGACAACAGAAGGTCTCACAGCAGATCTGGAACTTTCAACCCAGCAGAACTGGGCAGGTGGGTGAGGGGATCCGGGAATTATTTTTGTTTTGAAATAAAATTTCACCTGTCTCACATTGTTATACAAAATAAAGACCATTCTGCAATGAAACAATCACATTGCGCCGAAGTCTGGCTGGGCGCAAAATAACCGAGCCGCCACAAAGCCTTGTAAGTTCAAACAGCAACTCTTTATTCCAGAACTCTCACCAGCACTCTATGCTTGCTTCCCGGGAACACACTCCCTCCACCAGGCTTCACGCACCAATTCTCCCAGAACCCCTGCTAGAACTCAAAGGGAACTCCAAAGTAGAGGGCCCGTCCTAATCCCAGCAGGATCTGCCCTAATCCCAGAGCCGCCCTAATCCCAGAGCAGAGTCACCTTTCAACCATTCCCTCTAGCAAAATGCCAGGCATCATTCCAACTAAACTGTGGCTCTCAACACATTGCGATTTAATTGTAATATCCTTATAGGTAGATGATGTTAAATACAAAATTTACTGAACAGTTATTTTTTTATTTTATGTTTTAGTTGTAGTTGGACACAATACCTTTATTTGATTTTTATGTGGTGCTGAGGATGGAACCCAGGGCCTCCCATGTGCTAGGCACCTCTCTGTCACTGAGCCATAACCCTTGCCCTGAACAATTATTTTTAATGGATCCCAGAATGCAAGTGCTACAAGCATTATGTCTGACCTAAGTGTAATATATTGATAATTTTCAACATCTTTTTGCTTCATAGGGTAGCTACAGAAATTATGGTTTGGGGTCATATTTGTGATTGCTCCAGTAGCACATTAAGAAATATACTGGAAGAGGGTTGGGGTTGTTGCTTAGCCATAAAGCCCTCACCTAGCATGTGTGAGGCCCTGGGTTCAATCCTCAGCACCACATAAAATAAATAAAATTAAGGTGTTGTGACCAACTACAAAGAAAAGAAGAAATACACTGGCAGAGAAGAGAATAATGGTTGCTGGGGATTGGGTGAAGGGGGAAACATGGAGATGGTGGTCAAAGGATACAGAGTTTCAGCTATGGGAGATGAATAAATGGAGCTCTAATGTACAGAAGTGACTGTAGTTAATAATACTATTTTGGGGGATGGGGTACCAGGGATTGAACTCAGGGGCACTTGACCACTTAGCCAGGTCCTCATCCCTATTTAGAGACAGGCTCTCACTTAGTTGCTTAGCACCTCACTAAGTCTCTGAGGCTGGCATAGAACTCACGATCCTCTTGCCTCAGCCTCCCAAACTGCTGAGATTAGAGGAGTATGTGACCGCGACCGCACCCAGCTACTATTTTTGGAACTGAAAATTTGCTGTGTTCTTACCTTACCAAAAAAAAAGGGGGAAAAGTAACTAAGAGGAATGGTGTCTATGTTAATTCGCTTGATTATAGTGGTTACTATGCAATGTAAAATGCATATTTAACTATCAAGTTGTACTGGACTGGTGGCACACACCTGAAATCCCAGCTGCTTGAGACCAGCAGGAAGATCACAAGTTCAAGGCCAGCCAACTTACCTGGTTATGTAGCTCAGTGGTAGAGTGCTTCCCAAGCATGTGGGAGGCCCTGAGGTCAATCCACATTACCCACCCTCAAATCAAGTTGTACACTTTAAATATAAGCATTTTTATTTGTCAGATATATCTCAATAAACCTAAACAGAGAAAGAGAGAGAGAGAGAAAGAAATATTCTGGTTCTTTACTAACATGTTTGGCATAAGCATAGTGGGTGGTGGCTAGAATCATTAGATCAAGAATATATTGGTATGGGCTGGGGATGTGGCTCAAGCGGTAGTGCGCTCGCCTGGCATGCGTGCGGCCTGGGTTCGATCCTCAGCACCACATACAAACAAAGATGTTGTGTCCGCCGAAAGCTAAAAAATAAATATTAAAATTTTTTAAAAAATGATGTAAGCAGTTTGTTAAAATATATATATATATATATATATTGGTAATTACAGCCTCACAGGTCCTATAACTTTTTTCATGCCCTCAGCAGGGTATTGATAAAACTTCTGAGGTGTTAAATTTAAGAGCCAGAGGATGAAAGAGAGGAGAAAGTTAATCAGTTAACAAAGGTAGTCCCAACCAACAAAAACTTGCCCACATTCCTGAATGTGTATTGAAACTTTGATTCAAGCCCGAAGTGGTCAGAACAGTAGTCACCATTGCATCCTGCTTAAAACCAAAGCCAGTCCAGAAGCAACAAGAGCTTCTCCTTATAAACTGTCTTATGTAAATTCCCCACTTTCCCTTATTCCTCCCCTGTTATCTATAGTTAATAGGTTTAATTAAAACAATCTGTGCTTTCCTTCCCCATATTTGCATTATGAAAATGTTCTTGGCTTATAAAACAGGAGGACATGTTTCCAACAGTCATCTAACCTTGCTGCTGAGAGCTATGGAAACTTGTCCCAGGACCCTCTCTTTGTTGCTGGCATCCAGAATAGCTTTTAAACCCTTTTATTTCAGAGAGCCCTCGTTTTAACAGTTTCAACTTTAAAAATTGACATATCTAATTCTAAATTCCTTTCTAAGGAATTTTCTATAGCTTAAATTATCAACTAAAGTTCATACATTTTGTTTGACACTGAGAGCAATTTTATC